CAGTTGCCAAGCCTCTGAACTTTTATCCCGCGCCTGTGGGAATGCTGCAACAGTGATCAATGTGAAAAAAACCGTCCTAACCACTTTTTTCAGTGCTGTTATAACTTTGAAGGGTCGCTAAGGGAATTGTTGTAAGTCGAGGACTACCTGTATTGTCACCAAATTTGCACAGAGCAGCAAAAGGCCTCGCTTGGAGGCTGAGAATCGTTGTTTCTGAATTGTGTGTGTGTGTGTGTATGTGTGTTTATTTGCACTGAACCGGTTGTCTTCCGTTTTCTTCAAAGGTGGGTCTTGTAAGGCCGAAATCCTTTGAGTGGTTGATCAATCCTTTCACCTTCAAGCGTTTCTGGATGGTTTTAACACCAGGAATTGGGGGGAAAAAAGAGGAGGAATTTAACTCTTAAGCTGCCGAGAATTTTTTTCAAGAGCAGCGAAAATGTGTAAGAAGGACAATGGAAAATGTGTAAGAAGGACAGCTCAACTAGGATGAACCGTATTGTTTGTTTTTAATTGGGAAGGCATCTAATTATTGCTCCAGCCAAGTCTATCTAACCGGAGGGAGTGGTTAAAGAAAAAAATAAGGAACGGGGCGGGGGGTGGAAGTCACACATACATGATCAAAAACCCCTCGTGTCACACATAACAACACAGGTAATCCTCGACTTAAGCGTCCCAATTGAGTCCCAAAATTTCCGTTGCCAGGTGAGACAGTTAAATGAGTTTTGCACAGGGGTGGGTTTCAAAAACTTTAGCAAGGGGGTCTCTGCCCTGTGGCTGGGTGGGCGTGGCCAGCCTCCTGCACCACAGGGGGGGGTTGTGTTTGCCCTCTCTGGGCTCCAGAGACTTTCCTTGAGTCTCCGGGAGAGCGAAAACAGCCTTCCCTAGGCTCCGGAGGCTCTCTGAAGGGTGAAAAATGGGCCTACCGGAAGTTCACCTCCCCGAACTTCCGGTAGGCCCATTTTTCGTCCTTCCCGATCCTCCGCGTGCGCCCTGCACTTAGCTGCCTCCAAAATGGGCCGTGTAGGGGACTCCTAGGAGGGGCGGGGCTGGGTGGGTGGGGCCAGCCAGGAGTGGGATTTGGGGGGGTTCTCCGAACTGCACAGAACCCCTGCAAACCCCCTGGTTTTGCCCCTTTTTACGACCTTTTACGCCTGTGGTTAAGCGAATCGCTGCAGTCGTTAACTTAGTCCCACGGTTGTTAAGCGAATCCGGCTTCCCCATTGTCTTTGCTTGCCAAAAGAGGGTCACAACCCCGGGACGCTGCAACCGTCATAAGTACAGGCCAGTTACCAAGCGCCTGAATTTTGATCACGTGACCTATCGGGGAGGCTGTAAGGGTGAAAACGATCCTAAACCACTTTTTTTTCAGTGCCATTGTCACTTTTGATTGGTCACTATATGAGCCGTTATAAGTCGAGGACTACCTCTGCGGGTAAAAAAGCTGGGCTTCACCCGGTCAGGACTTCCAACCTGACTTTTCAAACCCCTCCCGGTGGATTTCTTGGCTGCCGCACAACCAGCCTTAAGTTTTAAAATACCGTAAACTATTATTTGAAACGAGCTTTGTTTTCCTAAAGGGAATAAATCGAATAAATACAGGGATATATTTATAGAAATGCGGGGAGATCTCCCTGCTCTCTGATTTCCGAAGGAGGCTGGTGGTAACCCAGGAATGAACCAGCCACGTAGGCAATGGTGGGATTCAAATAATTTCACAACCGGTTCGTCTGAACAGATACGAACTGGCTGAATCACACGCCTCTTGTACATAAGTTTGATTAAACAGGCCTGGGCTGGTTCCTTTGGCTTTAGGCTTTGGGAAAGAGAGAAAGGGTGTGGATCCGCCTTATATTTTCCAGTTTTGCACCTCAAAACAGGTTTAGCGATGGCTTCAGTCCTGTGGGATTCTGGGGCTTGTAGTTCCAACACATCTGGAAGGCCAGAGGTTGGGGAGAGATTCCTTCCTTTGTCCCTCCCTCGGCTAGTGACTTTCTTATCCAGGTAATTTAACCCACCAAAATCCATCCACGCAACAATATAGTTAGAATTTCACCCACAGTAAGATCCAATTTAGAAGAGGATAATTCGGTTGAACCGTGGTGCTCTCTGAGTTTCATTATTTTCTTGTAGACGTTTTATGACCCAACTAGGGATCATCATCAGTGCCAGGAATCTCTGTTTGTATACAGGTGGCTGTCACTGTTGGTGCGAGCTTTGGTTTCTTTTTAGTGGTTCCTTCACTAGGCTGTTCTTCTCTGTTGATTGATTTGATTGATTGATTNCGAAACACCAAAAACACCACTCAGTTTTGCTTCCCAATACAAAAACTCATCTGCAGAAAATACGACTTCAGCAACAGAGTGGTCAACACCTGGAATGCGCTACCTGACTCCATTGTTACATCCTCAAACTCGCAAAACTTTAACCTTAAACTGTCCACTGTTGACCTCACCCCATTCCTAAGAGGTCCATGAAGGGTGGGGTGCATATGTGCACCAGCGTGCCCACCATCCCTGTCCTACTGGCCCCATTTATTTGTACCCATTTCCTCTGTTCTTATTCATGTTTATTCTTATTCCTGTTATCTTGTGCATGAGTGATAAACTAAAGAAATAAATACATGTGCTTGTAGCCGACACTCGATACAGTCCAGGGCAAAAGATTAACTAGGCTATTTGCACCACTTGCTGACTCTAGTTAAATTAAACCTTGCTTAAGAGTTATGAGGTTGGCTTGCTTTGGGAGTTGTGTGTACCCAGCCTGTTGTGATGGACGTCAAAAATTAGCACTGCTTGGATCACACCCTCGTGGCTGGCCCTTTGACATTCTTGGCCACAACTTGTAGAGAGACCCCTGCTCCAGGTAGTTAACCCCCCCTCCAAAGGAGACTGTCCCAAAGAAGACAGGTTGTCTGAAGGTAAAGGATTCCCTTGCACATATGTGCTAGTCGTTCCGGACTCTAGTGGCCGGTGCTCATCTCCGTTTCAAAGCCAAAGAACCAGTGCTTCTCCGAAGACATCTCTGTAGTCATGTGGCCAGCCTGATTAAATGCGGAAGGTGCATGGAATGCTGTTACTTTCCCACCAAAGGTGGTCCCTATTTTTCTACTTGCATTTTAACTGCTGTTGTTCAGGCCATTTCTTCTTTGCTATGAACCTGCGCAAATAAACTATTCCTTCCCTGAAGAGCTGGCTTGCATGTCCTGTTTTTTCTACAACAACTAGGTTGGCAGAAAATGGGACAAGTAGTGGGAACTCACTCCGTTAAGCGGCGCTAGGGATTCGAACTGCCAGCCTGCCGACCTTTCTGACCGACAAGCTTCAGTATCTTAGCCACTGAGCCACTGCGTCCACGATGGTCTGCTCAGCCTAACTCACAAGGTCAACCTCAAGAAACCACCGATGGCTGTGTGAGTTCCATGGATGACATAATTGCATGGAGAGGAATGGCCAGGATTGAAATGTCTTCGCAAAGCCCTTTGGGACACTCACCTGTGGCCAGAGTGAGCCAGAACGAGGCCCCATAGGCCAGCTTCAGGGATGCCAAGCCGAACTGGATGGCACACCAGGCGTCCCTCCCCGTGGAGAAGGACAGGAGGGCGAAGATGAGGAAGGCTCCCGTGACGAGAAGCATGAAGCCGCCATAAACTGGGACCGGCATGGAGAAGAGCATGTTGGAGATGAGCCACGCACAGAAGGCCACCCTGCAGTTGTGAAAGACAAAGACACAAGGGGAGTTAGAGGCGGAGGGCAGAGGAGGTCTGGGGTTCAGGTGGACTTCTGATGGAAATAGGCTTGCGTAGAATTATCATATTTTTCGAGTATAAGACGCTCTGAAGTATAAGACTCACCTAGCTTTTGGGAAGGAACACAATTGGGGGGGGGGAATCTGCCGCTGCCTCCCAGCAATTTGCCTCCTTGCAACAAACAGCAAACAGTATAGATAATATACACTGTCAGTCTATACTTGTACAGATGCTGTTAAAATTGATGTGCTTTCTGGAAGTATAGTTGTTATCTGCTCTTTAAAAGAAGATACACTAGCACTGGGCCTCTTCAGATCAAGCATTTATTTTTAAAAGCTTCTTCGTTTTCTTAAGCTGTCTAGAACAATAATAAAGCAGTCTTTAAAGAATGTCTAATAATTTGAACATTCTATAGGCATTTAGAGTTATTGACTTATCTCCTTGCAGCAAACAGCCTGATTAGCACAAGGGGGAAAACATCTAACTCTTGTCTCCCAACAATTTGCCTCTTGGAGCAAACAGCAAGTTTCACTTTCAATTTCTCCCGATCATCAGCTGTTTTAGGCTGCAGGGATTATTACGTAAAACCTATTGCAGCTTCTGTTTGCTGCCAAAAGGTAAATTACTGGGAGGCAGAGGCGAAAAGGGTTGGGGCCGGTGGGTCGGTGGGTGGGGCTACATTCAGTGTATAAAACGCACCCAAATTTTCACCCTCTTTTNCCCCCCCCCCTTGACTTGGCTTGTCAGAAGTCACAAAAGGGGATCACGTGATTCTCCATTTATTGTATTTATTATCCATAAATACACGCCAGTTGCCAAGCATCTGAATTTTCACCCCGCGATCACGGGGCTGGTCCAAAGGGCGTGAGTGTAAAAAACGGCCCTACTGAAAGACACTTTTTCCAGTGCCATCGTAACCTCAAACGGTCACTAAATGAACTGCCCCTGGGTATTATCAAGTCCCTGGAAATCGACGCCACCTCCTGGGAAACCCTGGCTCTAGATTGATGGGCATGGCACTGCATGCTGATCCGCTGAGGCTGCCGGACCTCTGAGGAACAAACGGACAACTGTAGCAGGAGAGAAGCGAGGACTCCGCCAAGCCAGAGCTGCCAATGCTGCAACAATGGTGCCCACACACACCTGCCCGACATGTGGCAGAATATTCCCTGCCCGTGTAGGCTTTACCAGCCACCTGCGGACACACCGTGGACAGCCCATGACCCTGTGAGATGCCCTCTTCGAAGAGGGTGGAGGGACATCGTCATCACATGAACTCCATCCTTCAGCCTCCCAGATGTTTCGATGGATGATGGGCCGCAAACCAGGTGTGGGTTTTGCTTTGGCTGCCAAAACTGGGGTCCCTTCATCCCACCTCCTTCAACTCCTCTCTCTAATCCTCGGGGAGTGGGAGGGTCTTTGATGCTACCTAAGCCACTTCCGACAGTTAAACCTCTCCACTAACTCACCCACACACACACCCCAAAAAGAGGCATTTAATCCTCTTCTGCCCCCTGTAAGGCCACGCACAGCCTAATCCCGAATTTGAACGCTCCGTCGCTTCCGGGAAGACAGTTTTACAGAACGGAGGATGCCCTCTTGCGTCGTTAGTTCTTGGTGCAGTTTGGCAGCTTTTTAAATCCAGAGTAAAGAAATCTGAGCTCGTTCTTTAAAGACGAGACTCTGCCCCAGGCGTCACCTCTGAACTCTTAACATGGAATTTAAATGGTCTGGAAAGAGCGCTCACAGGAATAAGTGCACTGTAACTTTATCTGGGACGCGATGGCTCAGTGGCTAAGACGCTGAGCTTGTCCATCCGAAAGGTGGGCAGTTTGGTGGTTCGAATCCCTAGCACTATAACGGAGTGATCTCCTCTGACTTGTCCCAGCTTCTGCCAACCTGGCAGTTAGAAAGCAGGCTTTCTCCCTCCTTCCTTCCTCTCTCTTTCCTCCCTCCCTCCTTCTCTTCCTTTTTCTCTCCTTCCTCTCTTCTCCCCTTCCTTCCTNTCTTGGATGAGAAGAAAAGTCCAGTTGCCTCCTGAAAAAACCATCTTTGGGACAACCCTGACCTGGATGACGGAGAATCTCCAGAGACTTTTATTATTTCAGCCAGTATGGCGTCTAAAGTGGATGGCTTGTTCTTTCTGTTTCAGGTTCGTGCCATACATTGGAATAGTAACCATCCTAATGAACGATTACCCTAAATTTAAGGTAGGTTCCTTTTTGCTGTGTTGAAGCAACCCACTGCGTCGGGTCCATCCTCTTCATCATCAATGGATGGATAAACTGACAATATTCAATTGGGTATTCATAATTCAATGTGGGTATCCAATATTAGGGTTGCCTACACACAATAAGCTTGCCTTGTTGTGTTATTGACTCAATCTTCTCAGGTTGTCCAAGACACTGAGTCATAAAAAAAAGTTAAACCATCACTCCAAAATAAAATAGAAATCCGATGTAATATGCACTAAGCTTAACTAGTTACCAAAAATGCAGCTTCAAATCAACTTGATTTAGTAAAGTGTATTCTAACACAAGGGGGCGCAGTGGCTCAGTGGCTAAGATGCTGAGCTTGTCGATCTGAAAGGTCGGTCATTCAGCGGTTCGAATCCCTAGCACCATGTAATGGAGTGAGCTCCCGTGACTTGTCCCAGCTTCTGCCAACCTAGCAGTTTGAAAGCACGTAAAAAATGCAAGTAGAAAAATAGGAGCCACCTTTGATGGGAAGGTAGCAGCGTTCCGTGCGCCTTCGGCGTTGAGTCATGCCGGCCACATGACCACGGAGACGTCTTCGGACAGCGCTGGCTCTTCGGCTTTGAAGCGGAGATGAGCACCACCCCCTAGAGTCGGGAACGACTGGCACAGATGTGCGAAGGGAACCTTCACCTTTATCTGACAAATCCTCTCTTGGTTTCCTTTCCTTTCATCTTAGCATTACCAAGCATTCAAGTTCACAAATTAGTTAGGCGTTAGCAGTGTGCTGAATCCAACCAGCTTATTCTAGAAATCTTGAGTAAAAGATGAAAAGGAAGCACACTGAAGGATGTGAACCCTCCCCCAGACCTGGGAAACGTAGGCTGAAGACTGTGCCATTTTGGGGTGTTTTATGATTTGGATTTCATGCCTAAATTGGGATTGGAATCACTGTCAAACTCCTAATGGGGCACAGTGGCTCAGTGGCTTAGACCAGTGTTTTTCAACCTTGGCAACTTGAAGACGTCAGGACTTCAACTCCCAGAATCCCCCAGCCAGCGAATGCTGGCTGGGGAATTCTGGGAGTTGAAGTCCGGACATCTTCAAGTTGCCAAGGTTGAGAANAGGGTATAAACATTTAACAATCATACACTAAAATAAACTAACTTTAGCCTCGTCCCTTCGATTGTACTTTAACTCCCCTTATGTAAAGCTAACTTTTAGATAAATTTTAACATTCCTTGTTCATTCATTCATAAGCTAACTGAAATTTCTTAGTCCCATATTTATTTTGAATATAATCGATCCATCTTCTCCATTCCAACTTCTATTTCTCATCTGAATGGTCCTTCAAGTATGCTGATATTTTGGCCATCTCTGCTAAGTTTGTTACTTTTAACGTCCATTCTTAAATAGTAGGCAATTCTTCCTTCTTCTAGTACTGCGCCACCAACAGTCTTGCTGCCGTTGTTAAGTTCAGAATCAAATTGTCTCTATAACTGTACAGTCTGTGATTATTTTGAAAAACTTTCTTGGGGGTTTTCCTCCCTTGAAAAACATTTCATTTCTCATCCAAGAAGCTTCTTCAGTTCTGACTGGAAGGTGGGAATGGACAGATTTACATATTCTTTGGAGTCATGTGGTCATTAAGCATGACTGAAAATTGGTTTTCAAGGGGGGAAAAAAAACCCCAAGGATGTCCAGTTGCCTTTTGAAAAGCACCGTTGGGATAATCATGATCTGGATGACTAAGAATATTCATAGACCTCTATCTCTGTTTCTGCCCATTTCCAAGATTCGGAAGATGTTATTCTTGGAACTTTGAATTCACCTGTCTTGTCTTCATGGACACACTCTTCCTTTTACATCTGGGTGGTGGATACATTCTGGTTTGGGGCTCCCCTGCTTCTGTATCATGTTTTGTTTCTGAGTTTCACGAAGGCCTTTTTCAAAACCTGCATGTGAGGAAGAGGGAGATATCCCACTGCCTATCAAAAACCCTACATCATGTCAGCGTTCCAAATATCATCTGAAGTTAAATCAGAGTCCAAGGCAAAATATTCCTCAAAGTTCCAATTTATTAATAGAGACATTGCTTTTTTGTTCCCCTATATCAATACGCCCAGGAAGTTTCAGTCAGTCTATCTCAAAGATGCTTTTCCAGAAGGCAACTGGAGTTAATTTTTTTTTCTTTTGAAGAAGTTTCGCTTCTCATCCAAGAAGGTTCGTCAGCTCTGGCTGGATGGGGGGGGGGGGGGAATGGAAGGATTTCCTCGGAGTGACACAGACAAACCTCCAAGTGGCCTCAAAGACTCTCTAAAAGGATTCAAATAACCAGCTGTCTACAAGGAATATAAATCCATATGTATGTATGTATGTATGTATGTATGTATGTATGTATGTATGTATACGTATACATATCTATATTTAAAGTCACTGGCTAGCTGATGAGAGCTAAATAGCTTGAAATAGATCTATACTAGTCTCCCTTTATTTATTTATCAGCATAAATATAACATACATATCTATATATACACACACATATACATCACATACACACACACACACACACACACACACACACACACACACACACACACACACATATATATATATATATATATATATATTGCATTTGTGCTGATAAATAACAACAACACAAATGTAACAAGGCAACATAAAAAAAATGGCTTTCTGCCTGGATGGCTCCCAGAGTGAGCCGATAGACAGAAAAGGGAAGCAGTATGCTCCCTCCCATATTTG